TACTATCCTACTAGGGCATTTAATCCCGCAGCATTTTAACAGCGCCGGGATTTCGTGATGTAAACATTCTAATCCCGGGATTCCGAGATTTTTTCGGGACTTCGACTTCATTACAACTTTTTGCACACTGCCACACTGTAAAAGCTTGTTTTGTTTTCAATTGCTACCAGATTTTTCGTTATTACACAGTTCTTACACAAAATTTACTGTACTTGTCAGTTATTCAGGCAGGGCTCAAGTTCAATTTGAATCTAAATTTTTGGTGTTCTGTACTTCTCCTGTTTCATGTCAAATGAATTCTTTTTTTTTTTGTTTTCATTATCTCTTTCATTCTGTAAATGAATAAGTAAAAATCTCGGGATCCCGGAGTTGTAATCCCGGGATTTCGGGACATGGAAAATTGTCCGGGATGTCGGAATAGAAAAAGCCTAAAACGGCAATCCTGCTCGCAACTTCGGCATTCAAAGCCAATGATATTACCCCTTAAGCTAAGTTCGCCATGTAAATTGTTGTTGCTTTTTCCACTTTTTCATTTAGTCAACCCAGCTACTTAGATTTGATCATGTGGTTGTCGGTTTTTTTTTTCAAGATTCTATGTTTAGAAATTTAAACTTCCATTAAGTTATTGGTTTAGTGTTATTCTTGGGCAAATAATAATATTCAACAATCTTTTTTGAGCTTGAGGCCGTTTTTAATGAAAAATGTTGTGGAAAAACAACAATACAGTGCACTTCCAGTCTTTCGGAATATCTAGTTTTCGGTTTAACGAATCACAAAATTATCTCATTGATCTTTCGATATTACGAACGCAAACGGTTCGTTAAGTCAACGATAGTTAACTGCAGAAAATATATATGTAAGTAATTGGTTTTAACATCAAGATACTTTTGGTCAGGGTTGCGTGATTTTGATTTAGTCAAATCACAAATCCATAAATCAAATTTATTTCTGAATTGAAAGTTGCATCAAATCCTAAATAAATTTTATTTGAAATAAAAAATAAAATTATTTGTGATTTGCTTCGTCAACCAAATAAAAAATAAGATTTATTTGTGATTTGCATGGTCAACCAAATAAAAGATAATTTTTATTTGTGATTTGATCGTCAACCAAATAAAAAGTAAATTTTATTTGTGATTTGATTCGTCAACCAAATTAGAGCTAAAATATATTTGTGATTTGCTTGGACAACCAAATAAGGAATCAAATTTATTTGTGATTTGATTCGTCGACCAAATAAGAAATAAAATTTATTGGTGATTTTAATCACCTTCCTAATCAGAAATCAAATTTATTTGTAATTTGAATCAAAGAAAAATAAGAAATCAAATTTATTTGTGATTTGATTTGTAGAGCGAATCAATTGCATTCGTTGTTTTTTCAGCTGAATATTACTTTTTTATGCAACACATATACGATATTCAAGTATCTTCCCACTTCCACCTTCGGGATTTTAGAGACTACTTCGAGATTTTCGGGGTTCTCGGGACCATATCGGGACTACTTGGTTGGGACTATTTTGGTTTTTGGAACTGCTTCGGGGTTTTCGAGACTTCTTCGGCATTTTCAGGATTTTGGAACTAATTCGGTATGGTTGGGGCCATTTCGGGATTTTGGAGATTTTCTCGGGATTTTCGAGATTATTTTACATCGGGAACTTCGGGACTACTTTGGAATTTTTGGGACTATTTCGGGTGTTTCGAGCCTACTTCGAGATTTTAAAATTTTTGGGACTATATCGGAATTTTTAGGACAACTTCGAGATTTTCGGGGATCTCGGGAATATATCGGGAATTTTGCAACTATTCTGGGATTGTTGGACTATTTCGCGATTTCTTCGGGATTTTCGGTACTATTTCGGGTTTTTCGAGACTACTTACTACTACCAGTTAGAGATTTTTGGGACAAAATCGGAAGTATTGGGACTATTTCGGGTTTTTCGAGATTTTCGAGGTTCTCGTAATTGGTCTTGGAAGACCCGAAATAGTCCCGAAAGGTCTCGAAAATTCCGAAATAGTGCAAGTTCTCCGAAGTAGTCCCGAAAATCCAGAGAAGCCCGAAAATCTCGAAGTTGTTCGAAAAACTCCAAATAGTCCCAAAATCCAAGAATTGGTCCCAAAAATTCCGAAAAAATCCCTCTGGAAATCTCGAAGTAGTCTTAAAACTCCGAAATAGTACCAAAAATTCGGAACTAGTCTCAAAAATCCGAAATAGTTCAAAAATGCCGAAGTGGTCCCACAGATCTCGATATGGACCCGAGAACCCCAAAAATCCCGAAATAGTTCCGCAAATCCTAGAGAAATCTCGAAAATCCCCAAATAGTCCGAAAATTCCGAAATGGTCTCAAAAATCTCGATATATTCCCGAGAATTCCGAAGATTTTGAAGTAGTCTCGAAAAAAAAGAAATTCCTAATAAATCTCGAAAATCCCGCAATAGTCCACAAACTCCAAAAAATCCTGAAGTAGTCCCTAAGATCCCGAGAACCCCGAAAATTTCTAAGCAGATCCCGATATGGTCCCGAGAACCCAGAAAATCTCGAAATAGTCCCAAAAATCCCGAAGTGGAAGTTGGGAGATAACTGAATATCGTATGTGTGTTGCATAAAAAAGTAATATTTAGCTGAAAAATCACGAATCAAATTGATCCGCTCTATCAATCAAATCACAAATAAATTTTATTTCTTATGTGGAAGGCGATTCAAGACACAAATAAATTTTATTTTTTAATTGGCTGACGAATCAAATCACAAATAAAACTTATATTTTATTTGGTTGACCAAGCCAATCAGAAATAAAATTTATCTCTTATTTGGTTGACCAAGTAAATCACAAATAAAACTTGTGTTTTATTTGGTTGACCAAGCAATTCACAAATAAAATTTATTTCTTATATGGTTGACCAATTAAATCGCAAATAAATTTTATTTTTTATTTGGCCAACAAACCAAATCGTAAATCAATATATTTGTTTATTAAAAACGGATTTTAAATCAAAAAGGATTTGAAATCACACAACCCTGCTTTCGGTATTAAGAGATTTGCAAAAAATTGCAGTGCGAAAAACGTTCGAATTATTTGTTCGTTGAATTAAATACAATATAATATATTTATACAACATATATATTTATATGTATTACAATATAATATATTATACTTTTTAAACTGAATGTATTTAGTTATTCATTTGAAAAGATGCGGTTATTATAGAAAAAAATCACTCGATTTAACAAATTTTTCGAAATTACGAATTAAGCGAACAATATAAGATTCGTCGACTGTAATTTACAACTGGTAGAAGTTATAGTTGCTATTCAAGTCCCAGCCAACTCAATGAAGAAGTCAGCAGCTATAACTTCTATTGTTGTTGGTTTTCCTATAGTTTATTAACGACATGTACTTACTTTCTNTCAATGAAGAAGTCAGCAGCTATAACTTCTATTGTTGTTGGTTTTCCTATCGTTTATTAACGACATGTACTTACTTTCTGACTTAATAATAATAATAATAGATTGGCGCTTACACATATGTTAGTGTTTGGCCGAGCTTCTCCTCCGATTTGTGGCGTGCGCCTTGATGTTGTCACACAAAGAGGAGGGACCTACAGTTTAACGCCGACTCCGAACGGCGATTGTATTTTTATGAGAAGCTGTTTTTCATGGCAGAAATACACTCGGAGGTTTGCCATTGCCTGCCGAGGGACGACCGCTGTTAAGAAAAAACCTTTTTTCTATTTTTTTTTTTCGATGTTGCTTTTACCAGGGGTTGAACCCAGGCGCAGCGGAGTGGAAGCGCGCACTGCTTACCACTACACCACAGCGGCCGACTTTCTGACTTAATTATTAATTATTAAAATAATTCAATTTTAATATTGGAGGTACCATATAATTATTATTATTTATCAGGGAACCAGAATAATAATTATTTCAGTTTTAAAAAATTCATCCAAATTTTTCGTTCAAATTATAAAAGCCTTTTGATAATAATTATGTGTGAGAAAATTTTTTTAAGTCATCGATAACTATTATTTTAAACTGATATAATAGAAGCCTTTTTATAATAATTACCAGCGAGATAAATATTTTTAAGTCTGCAAAGACTTTTATTTTGAGACTTCTATTATAAAAGTCTTGTCATAACAATTATCATTGAGATAAATATTTTTATGTCTTCAAAGACTTTTATTTTGAGACTTCTATTATAAAAGTCTTGTCATAACAATTATCATTGAGATAAATATTTTTATGTCTTCAAAGACTTTTATTTTGAGACTTCTATTATAAAAGTCTTGTCATAACAATTATCATTGAGATAAATATTTTTATGTCTTCAAAGACTTTTATTTTGAGACTTCTATTATAAAAGTCTTGTCATAACAATTATCATTGAGATAAATATTTTTATGTCTTCAAAGACTTTTATTTTGAGACTTCTATTATAAAAGTCTTGTCATAACAATTATCATTGAGATAAATATTTTTATGTCTTCAAAGACTTTTATTTTGAGACTTCTATTATAAAAGTCTTGTCATAACAATTATCATTGAGATAAATATTTTTATGTCTTCAAAGACTTTTATTTTGAGACTTATATTATAAAAGTCTTTTGATAACAATTATGAGTGCGAAAAAATTTTGTATATAGTTCTGAACGTGTCCCAAACCAAGCCCCAACTGGTCCCAAACTACTCCCCATCTAGGCTCGAATTGGTCTCCACCTAGCCCCGATCTGGTCCCCAACTAATCCTGAAATGCTCTTGAACAAGTCCCATCTTTTCAGACTTAAAATTTCTTTTCTTTTAAAATATAAGTCATAAAATAAAAGTCTTTGAAGACTCAAAAATATTTATCTCTATGATAATTATTATGAAAGGACTTTTATAATATACCTAATTCTTTGGATAATAATTATAGATGACTCGAAAAATATTTGTCTTAATATAATAATTATTGATTAATCTTTTCTCTTATAATAGTTTTGTCTCTGTTATTTATCCTTCAGATGACTGCTGTACACATCCGGAGAGTACATTTTGCTATCCAATCTTTCTTCATCCGCTCGGACCAATTTCTCAGAGTTCCGCGAAAAAGTGCCTTAATTTCGCAAGAAGTGCTTCTGATACTGATGCTGTATGTTCCGCTAGTGGTTTGCCATATTCAGAAAAGATATCGATGACTTCAGCATATCTTGATCTTTCCTTTGTTTATGGCAACTCCATAGAACATAATTCAAAATTTCGTGTTTTTAAACACGGTCTGCTTAAAACAAGTTTGGTCAATAACCGTGACTGGTTGCCATTATCCATGAATCCTGAAACTGAATGCGGAGATGGGAATTATCAATGCTATAGCATACCAGATATGCGTAATCAGTTCATTCCAACAATTGCTGTACTACATACCATTATTGTGCGCGAACATAACCGAATTGCTAGGGAATTGGAACAGCTGAACCCTCATTTCTCGGATAAGCGTCTTTTCCAAGAAGCAAGAAAAATAAATATCGCGCAATATCAAAAGATTACTTTCTATGATTGGTTACCGCTTTTAATTGGATCTTCGTATGCTTACGACAAAAATTTATTGTACCATATTACAAAAAATGAATACGCTTATGATTACGATCCAGCTGTTAATGCTGCACCTTACGCAGAATTTGCCGCAGCCGCTTTTCGCTACCCACATAATCAAATACCTGGATGGTTTTCGTAAGTATTAAAAAAATTTACTTTTTCTTTAAGGCAAAGGTTCTCAAACTTATTTCGTGCACCGTCCGTGTGAGTAAAATTATTTGTAAGAACCGATTAAAATTATCTAACTCAAACTTACATTTTCTGCGCATCTTTAAAACCAGTTCCAATTTTTATTAAATGCCCCTACTCATCTCTGAGCTTCGTGCTGGGGGGCGATATGACCAACCTTGAGAAAGACTGCTCTAAGAGGATAAACAAATTTGTGTTTTTTTTATGAATCAGAGAGCATATACGATATAATCATTCAAAAGAATAGTTTCAGTGACAACATTTTGTTATTAGGCAGAAATTATTGGCATCTTCGAAACCAAGTGACATATTTTATGCAAGACTTCAAGCGCAGTTACCCACGGACGTAAAAACGGAAAACGTGCCAGCTGACACAATCTATCTTATCGCAAGATTTTTATGGGATCTGCGTGTTAACAAAAACTCACCACCGCATGACCGTGACTTTGACCTGGCTTCTCTCTCTTTCTATCAACAGCAAACTTGATGTCTCTTCGCACTTCTAAGGTACGCTGCGTACACGATCATGGGTAACCGTGCTCTTAAGCGCTGGTTAAATATACTTACATTGCAGTGCAGGGCATGGAAAAGCAGTGCATGAGAAGCATACTCCGCATAGAGCGCATAATCTCCTAGAATCAGTTGTTCAGTGTAATCAGTTAGTATAATCCAGTACTCCAGGATATAGTTAGGCAGACATAACTGAAGAGCGCGTATTCATAGCCTAAATGAAGTCGACACTAATTTTTAATGGAATGGCGGCAACTAACTTTATAATCGACTTTGTTTCGATAATAAATATGATCCAATGTATATAAAGGAACGACTTCCCAGTAATTCCAGTAAATCTTATGGGTACTGGAACAGACCAATGAAGGCAATAGGAGTGGCAGCTCTCTTTTAAAACGTCACATAGCGAAAAATCAAAATTCACCGGATTTCGCTATCATTCCCTGTCATGCGCTGCGTCAGATAATCGCTTGTATGCAAAACTCATGATTCAATAATACAAGGTTCGATAAACTGACAGTTGTCTCTCTCGCACCGCTCCCTTAGCAGTGGCACCGTGTTGTTTCTCTGCAAATTAAAATGGAAACAATGTAGCTTTTATATGAAATAGAAGTATAAGATTTTGTGCAATATGTTTATTTGTATATGCATATGAAGCATATTTAACTGATGAAAACATAAACTGTTTTTAAATTGGATGTTTACATCAATATCATAGTAGTCTTATTTTAATTTTGAATCATTTTTCAGTTTTTATACAGCTAAATAGCACATTGATTACTTAATTAATGTAGATATATCAATATTACGTTCATCATTTAGTTTAAAATGCCAGATTTCCTGCAAATACATTAGAATTTACAAAAGGAATTCCACTACTAATTACCTACTTTGCGTACCTTTCTACTACCATTTTCGCACCAAGAGATTTCATTCTTCCCCTTTCTCCGGCCTTCGTAAATGCAACCTTTTGTAAGGGAGTGTCAAACCGCAGCTGTCAATAATTATCTAACCTTGTATTATTGAATCATGTGCAAAACTCATTAAACCGATTCGATATGTGACAGTACTCATGTTGTGCGCTGCAGTACAATGTAAATATAACCGGCTCTTTAGACTTAAGTCACTTAGAAACTTGGCAACGGTTACTCTGCGGGCCATCTATTACTTTTTCTCTTTGTTTTGATGCTCGACATAAGTATTTATATATGCAAAATTTTGAACGTTAAATTTGTTTGGTGTAAAAATGGATATATAATTACAAATTAAAATAATTGCATTTACGCGTATCAAATTGTGATGGTTTTATTTCACGTTTTGTCTTTATTTGAAAGTTTATTTTTCGATTGCCAGATGAATTGNATTACAAATTAAAATAATTGCATTTACGCGTATCAAATTGTGATGGTTTTTTTTCACGTTTTGTCTTTATTTGAAAGTTTATTTTTCGATTGCCAGATGAATTGCATTTATAACAAGTAAGAAAGTCTAACTTCGGGCGGAGCCGAACATTAAATACCCGGCGCAAGTATTAAATATATGTTTTCCACCTTTCCGAAAGCTACCGCTACATGATAAGCGGGTGTATAAATATTAAGTAAACTAGCATCCTTAAATTTCGAAATATTGAAATTTCAAGCATTTCTGAAATTTACCGTTATATGAAAAGCGGCCGTAATTTTAGTCCGATTTCAATAATTTTCAACGGTTTGCTTTTATGTGGCAAGCACAATAATCATACCGAGTTTGGTACAAATTGCTAGAACTGTTACCGATATACATAAATGTGATCATAATTGGGCGGTGCCACGCCCATTTTCCAAAATTTTATCATAAGCGTATTTCCTGATAAAGAATTGTTGCAACCGTCAATTTTGAATAAATTAGCTTTAATATTTACTGATTTATCGAGGATTTCGTATTTCTCGAAATTACCGTTATATGGGATGTGGGCGTGGTTATTGTCCGATTTTAAAAATTTTCGGCCATTTGGTATGCTGTACCAGGGTCAACAACTGTGCCAAGTTTGGAAGAAATTGGTGCAGCGGTTTCCAAAATATACACATGTAACTATAAGTGGGCGTGGCTACGCCCATTTTTCAAAAATTTTTAATATTCTTATTTCTCGTCTAAAAGTTATTCTAAATGTCAATTTTGAGTGAATTATCTTCAGTAGTTACTAAAATATCGCAGTTTTCGTATTTCTGAAAATTACCGTTATATGGGAGGTAGGCGTGGTTATTGTCCGATTTCGCCCATTTTCAATACCATCCGTCCTACGCCCAAAAGAAGTTCACGTACCAAGTTTCGTTAAGATATCTCAATTTTTACTCGAGTTATCGTGTGCACAGACGGACGGACGGACGGACGGACGGACAGTCACCGCTTAATCGATTTCTCTTTTCATTCTGATCATTTATGTATACATTTGTCTATATCTATCTCGATTCGTTTTGCCTGTTACAAACAACCGTTATGTGAACAAAGTTATAATACCCTTGTGCACAAGTGCGCTCGGGTATAAAAAAATACATACGTATTTGTATGGCATATTTGGAGGAACTTTATTAAAAAATGTTATGGCAGCATGATTTGCTCACGGCTCTTTTTGCACTTAAAGTATGTTCACATATAAATATTATCTCAATCAAAGCTCGTTTTTAATCACCCCGTTTACACAGGTAAATCTCAAATTTTTTGTGCTTGTTATTCTCACATCTCAAGGAAAAGTTATGTTTCTTCTCTGTGCCACCGTGATCACGTTTTTCTACTATATTAAGCAATATAAATATATTTTAACTTAATATTTTATTAAAAATACCTTTACAAACCTCTTTTCCTTGCTAGCGTCCATTTTTGTTTAATTTTACATTTCGCATTTCAGCTGAAATTAGTCAAGAACGTAAACCTACCGGTACGTAAACCCGAGTCAGCTGACACGATCTGTCTTACCAGAGCGCCACGTAAATGAAAACTCAACACCGCAGAATTTTTCTGTAGTTGTAGCCCTTAGCGCGGAATTTAGACTTTTCCGTGTCATCTGATTTCTTCCTTCTTTCTATAGGTGGTTGCCACTTTGTCAGTTTTGCAGATGGTAAAAAGGTTATAAGTTCCTATTCAAAATACGTTTAAAATATTTGAAATTTACTATTGAATAAGGTTTTTTGTTGAACACTAAGTAGTTTATATTTAGCTGCAATCTATTATAGCACGAAAAATTGTAGTTGAAAAGGTAAGTTTATGAAAAGGCATTGATGAATGGCACACTGTAGTAACCAACACTGAGGGCTCCAGTAATCGCCAAATTCTGCGTATACAGACTGCGTTTTACGTTCTGCGTTCTTGACTAATTTCAGCTTTCTTCTCTTCTTCGCAAAAACAATCGATAAAACTAGGATGGACACCGAAAAGTTATTGGCTAAATCTGAGATTATTTTATAATTACAGATAAACAAGGGACGAATTTTATATGGCTAATCTCTTTTTCTAATTACAGATTAGGAAGTTAAGCTTGCAAATGAGGATAATCTACTTCAGTGTGTCCAGATTGTTTCAAAAAAAGCGCAATTTCTGAAAAAAAATCGCCAAAAATCGCCAATTTTTTTCAAAAAAAATTCATGAAATCGATTTAACAAATATTTTATTTTAAAAATGACATCTTGTTATAATATAGTTTTTAAAACCAAAAACGAATATAATACCTTCAGAGGGTAATAATAAATAACACAAATCACTTTTATAATAGAGATGTACAAACAATTCTTTTTTAAATACGCATACTTTTAAAAAATATTTGTTTGAATACATTTTGCAATAGTACTGCGCAATTATTAAACTTATTATAACTCATATTAATTAAATATTAATCACACAATCCGCTTTTAATCGCTCGGCGCTCAAAATGAAATAAAAACCTATAACAAGGCGAGATCAGCTATTTCCACAATTTTTTCCAAATCACCTATAGTGTATGAATGATTTTCATTTCTGTTGTTGTCATATATTGAGCTATTATAAAACTGCGTCCCTCAAATTTTTCTAAAAATGCTGAGTAAAAAGTTTGAAATTTTGGCATTATTTTGCATTTTTATAATTTTTCTAAAAATTTTGAAGTGCGCATTTAAATGCAGTTAATTATATATAAAATGAGGTAGACTTTTATAAAAAAATTTAAATCTATATATATAAGGGTGAAGGTCTGTTTGTTTATTGCGTTATAACTTTTGAACCGCGACATGGAATCGCACGACACTTTGCACACTTATTTGTTTTTATCCCGGGAAGGTTATAGGCATAGAAAAAAATCGGCAGTACTGGAAAAGGGGCGTGTTCATGTCGTATATCTCTTAAACAATTTTTGGTAGAGTAGTGGAACTTGGTGTCGAGATAAATGAAATTAATTTCATACTTATGGGGGAAAATGGGCGGAATTGGAA